TGTGATGCCTCCCACTGTGTTCTCTTTGCTTAGAATTGACTTGGCTATGCGGGCTCTCTTTTGTTTCCATATGAAGTTCAAGGTGGTTCTTTCCAGTTCTGTGAAGAAAGTCAATGGTAGGTTGATGGGGATAGCATTGAGTCTGTAAATTACTTTGGGCATTATGGCCATTTTCATGATATTGATTCTTCCTAACCATGAACATGGAATGTTTCTCCATCTGTTTGTGTCCTCTCTGATTTCGTTGAGCAGTGGTTTGTAGTTCTCCTTGAAGAGGTCCTTTACGTTCCTTGTTAGTTGTATTCCTAGGTATTTTATTCTCTTTGTAGCAATTGTGAATGGCAGTTCATTCTTGATTTGGCTCTGTTTAAGTCTGTTATTGGTGTATAGGAATGCTTGCGATTTTTGCACATTGATTTTGTATCCTGAGACTTTGCTGAAGTTGCTTATCAGTTTCCGGAGTTTTTGGGCTGAGATGATAGGGTCTTCTAGATACACTATCATGTCGTCTGCAAATAGAGACAATTTGGCTTCCTCCTTTCCTATTTGAATACCCTTTATTTCTTATTCTTGCCTGATTGCTCTGGCTAGAACTTCCAGTACTATATTGAATAGGAGTGGTGAGAGAGGGCATCCTTGTCTAGTGCCAGATTTCAAAGGGAATGCTTCCAGTTTTGCCCATTCAGTATGATAATGGCTGTTGGTTTGTCGTAAATAGCTTTTATTATTTTGAGATACGTTCCATCAATACCAAGTTTATTGAGGGTTTTTAGCATAAAGGGCTGTTGAATTTTGTCAAAGGCCTTCTCTGCATCAATTGAGATAATCATATGGTTTTTGTTTTTGGTTCTGTTTATGTGGTGAATTACGTTTATAGACTTGCTTATGTTGAACCAGCCTTGCACCCCCGGATGAATCCTACTTGATCATGGTGGATAAGCTTTTTGATGTGCTGTTGCAATCGGCTTGCCAGTATTATATTAAAGATTTTTGCATGTATGTTCATCATGGATATTGGCCTGAAGTTTTCTTTTTTGGTGAGTCTCTGCTGGATTTTGGTATCAGGATGATGTTGGTCTCATAAAATGATTTAGGAAGGATTCCCTCTTTTTGGATTATTTGGAATAGTTTCAGAAGGAATGGTACCAGCTCCTCTTTGTGTGTCTGGTAGAATTCAGCTGTGAACCCATCTGGACCTGGGCTTTTTTTGTGTGGTAGGCTCTTAATTGCTGCCTCAACTTCAAATGTTGTTATCGGTCTATTCATGGTTTCGACTTCTTCCTGGTTTAGGCATGGGAGGACACAAGTGTCCAGGAATTTATCGATTTCTTCCAGGTTTACTAGTTTATGTGCATAGAGTTGTTTGTAATATTCTCTGATGATGGTTTGAATTTCTGTGGAATCTGTGGTGATTTCCCCTTTATCATTTTTTATTGCATCTACTTGGTTATTCTCTCTCTCTTTTTTTAATTAATCTGGCTAGTGGTCTATTTTGTTGATCTTTTCAACAAAACAGCTCTTGGATTTATTGACTTTTTGAAGGGTTTTTCGTGTCTCTATCTCCTTCAGTTCTGCTCTGATCTTAGTTATTTCTTGTTTTCTGCTAGGTTTTGAGTTTTTTTGATCTTGCTCCTCTAGCTCTTTCAATTTTGACAATAGGGTGTCAATTTTGGATCTTTCCACTCTTCTCATGTGGGCACTTATTGCTATATATTTTCCTCTAGAGACTGCTTTAAATGTGTTCTAGAGATTCTGGTATGTTGTGTCTTCGTTCTCATTGGTTTCAAAGAACTTCTTTATTTCTGCCTTCATTTCATTGTTTATCCAGTCAACATTCAAGAGCCAGTTGTTCAGTTTCCATGAAGCTGTGCAGTTCTGAGTTAGTTTCTGAATTCTGAGTTCTAACTTGATTGCACTATGGTCTGAGAGACTGTTTGTTATGATTTCCGTTGTTTTGCATTTGCTAAGGAGTGCTTTACTTCCAATTATGTGGTCAATTTTAGAGTAGGTGTGATGTGGTGCTGAGAAGAATGTATATTCTGTGGATTTGTGGTGGAGAGTTCTGTAAATGTCTATCAGGTTTGCTTGCTCCCGGTCTGAGTTCAAGCCCTGGATATCCTTGTTAATTTTCTGTCTGGTTGATCTGTCTAATATTGACAGTGGAGTGTTAAAGTCTCCCACTATTATTGTGTGGGAGTCTACATCTCTTTGTAAGTCGTTAAGAACTTTCCTTATATATCTGGGTGCTCCTGTATTGGGTCCATATATATTTAGGATCGTTAGCTCTTCTTGTTGTATTGATCCTTTTACCATTATGTAATGACCTTCTCTGTCTCTTTTGACCTTTGTTGCTTTAAAGTCTATTTTATCAGAGACGAGAATTGCTCTCCATTTGCTTGGTAAATCTTCCTCCATCCCTTTATTTTGAGCCTTTGTGTATCCTTGCATGTGAGATGGGTTTCCTGTATACAGCACACTGATGGGTTTTGGATTTTTATCCACTTTGTCAGTCTGTGTCTTTTGATTGGTGCATTTAGCCCATTTACATTTAGGGTTAATATTGTTATGTGTGAATTTGATACTGCCATTTTGATTCTAGCTGGCTGTCTTGCTCGTTAGTTGATGCAGATTCTTCATTTTCTTGATGCCCTTTAGCGTTTGGTATGTTTTTGGAGTGGCTGGTACTGGTTGTTCCTTTCTATGTGTAGTGCCTCTTTCAGGAGCTCTTGTAAAGCAGGCCTGGTGGTGACAAAATCTCTGAATACTTGCTTGTTTGCAAAGGATTTTATTTTTCCTTCAGTTATGAAGCTCAGTTTGGCTGGATATGAAATTCTGGGTTGAAAGTTCTTTTCTTTAAGGATGTTGAATACTGGCCCCCACTCTCTTCTGGCTTGTAGAGTTTCTGCCGAGAGATCTGCTATGAGTCTGATGGGCTTCCCTTTGTGGGTGACCCGAATGGTCACCCATAGAATGTTGTCCTTCATTTCAACCCTGGTGAATCTGATGATTCTGGCTGCCCATAGAATGTTGTCCTTCATTTCAACCCTGGTGAATCTGACGATTATGTGCCTTGGGGTTGCTCTTCTTGCGGAATATCTTTGTGGTGTTCTCTGTATTTCCTGGACTTGGATATTGGCCTGCCTTGCTATGTTGGGGAAATTTTCCTGGATAATATCCTGAAGAGTATTTTCCAGCTTGGATTCATTCTCTTCATCACATTCAGGTACACCATACAAACGTAGATTAGGTCTCTTCACATAGTCCCACATTTCTTGGAGACTTTGTTCATTCCTTTTTGCACTTTTTTGCTCGAATCTTGCCTTCTCGTTTTATTTCATTGAGTTGATCTTCGTCTTCTGATATCCTTTCTTCTACTTGGTCAGTTTGGCTGTTGAAACTTGTGCATGCTTCGCGAAGTTCTCGTGTTGTGTTTTTCAGCTCCTTCAATTGACTCATATTCCTCTCTAAGTTGTCCATTCTTGTTATCATTTCCTCAAATCTTTTTTCAAGGTTCTTAATTTCTTTGCATTGAGTTAGAACGTGTTCTTTTAGCTCATGGAAGTTTCTCATTAGCCACCTTCTGAAGTCTGCTTCTGTCATTTCATCACACTCATTCTCTGTCCAGCTTTGTTCCCTTGCTGGTGAGGAGTTGTAGTCCCTTGTAGGAGGCGAGGTGTTCTGGTTTTGGCTGTTTTCCTCCTTTTTGTGCTGGTTTCTTCTCATCTTTGTGGATTTATCCACCTGTCGTCTGAGTAGTTGCTGATTTTCCAATTGGGTCTCTGAGTGGACGTCCAGATTGTTGATGATGAAGTATTTCTGTTTCTTAGTTTTCCTTCTAACAGTCTGGCCCCTCTGCTGTAGGACTGCTGAGGTCCACTCCAGGCCCTGCTTGCCTGGGGAACACCTATAGCAACTGCAGAACCATGAGGGTTGCTACCAGTTTCTTCTTCTGCTATGTTTGTCCTTGAATGATGCCTGCCAAATGTCAGTCTGATCAGTCTGTGAGGTAACTCTTTGGATATACAGGGGTCAGGGAGCTGCTTGAGGAGACAGTCTGTACTTTATAGGAGCTCAAGTGCTGAGCTGTACACTCCATTTTTCATTCAGGGCTTCCAGGCAGGTACGTTTAAAGCCCCTTTTTTTCCTCAGGTGCTCTGTCCCGGGGAGTTAGGGCTTTATTTATAAGTATCCATTGCACTGTCCTGCCCAGAAATTAGGCAGTCTAGTCACTGCCTGCCTGTAGTGGCTATGCTAAGCTGCTCTGGGCTCTGCCCTGGTGCCGTGGGCTCCACCCTGCTGCCATGTGTAATTCCCTGTAGTCCTGTTTATATGGGTGTGGTTAGAACTGCCGTGGTGATGGTGGCCCACCTCTGTAATGGAGGACTCTCTCTGTTATGGCGGGTTGCCTCGGCAATGACAGGCTGCATCAGCAATGGCAGAGTACCTCCATAGGGGTTGAGTGCCTCGGTAATTGTGGACGCCCCTCCCCCACCAAGCTGCACTGTCCTGCGTTCAGCTGTGCTTGCCGTGAAACTCTCAACCTTGAGCGTTTCCAATTGCTGTTTTGTTTGTTTTTGTGCAGGTGGGGCCCGCCGAGCCTGACCACCTGGCTCCCTGCCTCAGAGCCCTTTTTTTTTAAGTTGAACCGTTGACTCTCTCCCAGGTGTTCCAGTTAGCTGCTGAAAGGGCGCCAGGATCTGTGTGATTTCCCATGCGGTGACCCACTGCGCCGGCTGAAACTACATTGCTGCCCAGGAATCTCCTGGCCTGGCTTTCTGTTTAAGTCCCGTTTAAACAGATGAATGTGCTAATCTGCCTCCCAAAATCTCCAATTGCCAGTTTAACAGGGCAACCAAACCAGTGTATTTGGTACGGAGTGCCACTGCACTACGGCACCTGCTGAAACAGCCGCGCCGGCCCAAACACCCGCCTGCGGCCCGTGGGGAATCTCCTGGTCTGTGGGCAATAAAGATCCGTCTGGAAATGCGGCGTCCACTCACCCTCTGTGCTTTCACTGGGAGCTGCAATCCTGAGTTGGTCCTACAGTGCCATCTTCCTTGTAAAAATCCCATCCAGCATTTTATTAAGTCAAGGGAAGAAATGCCATGGGTAACCAGAGGTGACTAAAACTGTAGACCAAGATATTCCTAGCTTTCCTTAAAAATTAAGAATTTAAGGAATGTCTCTAAATCTTCTCAAAGTATTTAGGTACCATCCTTGTGGTAAAACGACATCCAAAGCCAACCATAGCAAAGAGTAAAAGAGCACTTCATAAACCCCAAATTAAATTATTACAAGTTTTAAGTAGTGCCTCCTAATATCCTGGGAAATGTCTAGGATTAACAATCAATAGACTAGCACATTAGTCTCAACTCTACCATACATGGGCTGACTTGGGAAAGTCACTTAACCTTCTCTTGTCAATAATGCCACCTACCTTTCTGAATTAATAGAATTAAATGTAAGAACAGTCATAATAAATCACTTAGCCTGGAACATAATAAACAGTCAAAATATGATAACCCCTTTATTTTTTTATATAACATCATTTTTGTTTTCAGAACCATGCCCAACAATGCTTCACTTATTCTTGAACTTTCTGACCCAGCGGCAACCACAATAAATGCCTCCAAGGAAGTAATCTACATAACTTCTGGATCTCCTTCCTGGGTCACAACTCAGGTCCTATAAATATAATTTGGAATATCTTCCCCTAAATGCATTATCTTATTCTGTGCCACATGAAAACTCATCAGAGGATATTCCTGTAGCTTCTCCTTGCTGGCTTGGCTTTTAACTACCTGGAACAGCACATGGAGTCAGCTACAAATCTGGCAACTGTCACTGCCAGTCTATCTTTTAAATCATTTATAAAAATGTTAAATAAAACTCATCTGAGTACTGATCACCTGAAGGATAATGGGGTTGGACTGCTTTTTTCATGTCAATACCCAATATCAAAGATGAAATAATTAGATAAAGAAGCTCCCCTTTGGCCACATGCATATTTAACTCTTAAGAAAGTACTTGGGTTTCTCCTTATAGATTATATTTAACATTAACAGTGGGTTTCTCCTTTAGCTTTAAGTATATTTCAGACACTTTCCTGTTTGGGAATCTATAGAAAAAACAAACTCAGTTTCCTCACATTGTCATTCAACAATCAACCCTTGTGACCTCAAAAAGTGTGTAAGGATTTCTCTGTACCAAAAAGCAAACAATCAATTCTACAGCAGATACCAACTGGGTGTTCTCTAATTCAAACCAATTCTGACACCAGCTACACCTATAGATAGCGTGAGATTGCACAGGTTGAGGACTCAGACCCAAAGACTGAGCCCCACTTCCGAGGCCAATCCCAATCTCCATTATTTTACCTGTGCTTCTGACCAACGGGCTATAAACTGGGGTTTCTACAACCTTCTCCTTGAGTTTGATTTATTTGCTAGAGCAGCTCACAGAACTCAGAGAAACACGGTAAAGTATGTGCTAGTTTATTACAAACTGTATTTTAAGGATACAAATAAACAGCCAGAAATAGGGCAGAGTCTGAAGTGCAGGCGCTTCTGTCCCCCATGGGATTGGAGTGTGCCATTCTCCCAGAATGTGGATGTGTTCTTGTTCACCTTCACAGAGGCCCCCACAAGTCTGGCCCCAATCTTCTCCCAGGTGGTTGGTAGGTGGTGTTGAAAGGGGCAACCCTCAGAGCCCAAGGCTGATTTCCCTGGAGATCATCACCTGGAACCAGTACTTACCTAGGGACTTTCCAAAAATAGCTTCATTAACATATGCTCAGGTGTGTTTGAAAGTACTTGTTGTAAATAACAAAAGACTATCTTTCATCTTTATTGCTCAGAAGCTGTTTCAGAGCTGCTTCAGGAACCAAGGATAAGAGGACAACTACTCTAACAAAAGATACTTTTATTGCTCTAGTCACTTAGGAAATAAGGAGGCTTACAGGAGCTGTTTGAGCTGGGAATCACGGCCAAAAAGCAAAATATATATAGTACATAATGATATTACATCCCAAAACAATGCATCAACCTGTGGGATTCGGGATTCACACTAGAGCTAAATTCCTACAAAATCCGGCTTACCTCAACACTACTCTATTCAACCACCTCTGATTCTTATCCTAACTCCCCTTCCTCTAACTTCCTACCAGATACACAGGTCTAAAGTACAGTTTCCATATCATTTCCATTCCATCATTCTAGTTCTCATTGTTCCATTTTCCCTATATCTATTATTTAAATAAGCTTCCCCCTTTTAGATTGAAATACTTCTAATTCAAGGATACTGCTCAGAATAGGAAGACTGGACATTGCTCCTGTTTATGGTCATCCTCAAATAAAATAAGAAACTCAATTTAAACATGATCCCAGAGCACATAAGCCCATTTCAAATACAATTTTTTAAAATTTATCTTCATTACTGCTTCCTCTTACCAGCTTTGATAAAAAAAATTACTGTATGAAAGCTCATCAAAATAAGGTAAATTTAATTTTGGTGTTAAGCAGTATATGAACCTGTGAAAACATATTCTTGCTATATTATATTTCATAACACAATACGGTCTGTCTCAAATCATTCCCCACAATTTTTCACCTACATGTAAAGGCAGGCAACTAATTTTCAGGTCACTAAGATGCAAATTTATCCAACATTAACATGAGTCAACAATCCAGCCTAATTATCCTTTCAAGATTATTTCTGCTCTGACCACATTCAAAAGTCTTCCTCTTTCCCCTTAGGAGGAGGATAGCTGGCTAACTCAGATGAAGAATCTGTTAAGATGGACAAGACAAATAATTCATATTTTCCCTCTTTCATTTTCTAACAACTGCGCTGAAGCTAAGAAAGTAATTTTTACAGTCTACACCTACTCAGTTCACATACCCATGAATTTTAAGTATGAATAACAGTCCATTCACAATGGCATAATTATCTCTAAATGTATAAAGAAACTCCAACCTAATGAAAAAAATGAGCAATGGTTGGTTATATTTTAACATGACATGCCTTCTAAAACCATATTAAACTAATTCATTCACATGGTTAGATTATGTAATAGACCCGAAGAAAGTCCCTATGAAATTCCTAAAGGTATGTCATGAATGCAATAAAGGCCTGATACATTGTGGTAACTTCATAATCCTTATTGTAACAGTTAATCAAAAGAATATTAGAAATTGGTCACTCTTCAAACACTAAAATTCTGTATCAGTGAAAATAATATATAACTGGAAACTTGTGATGGCTACACGTAACTTTCTTAGCCCTGCTAGCATCACTTTAGACTAAAGAATTGGCCCAAGTATTCATCATCTGAAGTACCCCCAACAGCATGACTGCCTGAGATCAAAAACAACAGCAAGACTACTACTGGAATAATAACAACGCTTTTGAGCTATAGCTTGTTTCTAGTTTTAATCCCTCATCTGTAAAATAGACTCACTTCAATGAAACTCTAAAAATAAGGGCATGTAAAAGACATTATGGAGATACATTTTTAAAATAATGAAAATTAGTGTTAAAAGTCATTAAAAAACAGCTCTTGCATGACAAACAAAAAGTTACCTATTGTGACAGAAGGCAAAGATGCTGTAAGGAAAGACCACAAAGATGCATGAGAATCGAAGTAAAAAGGACCACAAATGAAAGGACTGTTATAAAAGCAACAGAAAAACCTGAGAAGGCAGAACCATAAAACACCAAGAGAAATTCACTATTCTTTGGATAATACACCATTAACAAGGACTCTAAGATAACTTATGACACAAACTGTTACCGTCAAAAACATTTGCTAAAACACATGGTCATGACACTAGTTGGACCTGGGTTACAGCAAATTAAAAAGAACCATATGTTTATAAAATTGGAGTCACACAAATTTTATCACTAAAATCTCATAGCTTAATGAATGAAGTCATCAAAATATTCACTTAATAGAAAACAGGAATCAATGATTTTCCCATGGTTCCATGGGCAGAGAAGAGTTCCAATCAATAATATACCTTATAAATTCCCAACTTCCTCATCTAAGCATACCCAGCAGGTCTCCAGTACTCTAGTACTGTATTTTCACTAGAATACTTGCAAATCAATTATTAATATTTTTGTTCTAGAATAATGAATCTGCAACAAGGATCTCCCAATGACATTCAGAAACACTAGCACATTCACTTTAATTTGATATGCAGACCTAATTAGAGGTCCAAAGTAAGCAGAGGAAGGAGAGTGAGCAAATACGAAACATCAGAGGATCATTTGCACCAAGTACCCCTTACTGAAGACTATGATTTGATCACGCATTTTTCTAGAAATTTTTGTAGCTTGAAAGTGTGTGTACAGCAAGGAAATAAATAGGCATACAACTGTCTGCTTATACACCTAAAAACCGCAGAGAATGATGTCAAATATTTGCTGTACCCTTACAATGCAGTAGGCAGGCACGGTTAAACCTCATCACTATGCTATGAGGTAGGTACTTCTAACATTCTCACTTTACAAATGAGTAAAGTCAGGTACACTGTGGTTAAATCACTTGCCTGAGATCATGTGAAGGGGCTGAAATGCAAATCTTGTCTTTCTCTATTACACCTATAATAGAAATTACGTATTCATAATGATCATGTAACTCTACTCTCTTTTTAAAGGTACTAAATCCATTTTAACAAAATCCCCACACTAACTGAAAATAATTTTCATATAATTTACTTTGAAAATATAAGAGCCTTTTGAATTTTGAAAGCCTTTTAGGCAGTTAATTTTTAGCATAAAAATTACAGAATGCTAAACTATGCTAAGACATTCATCTAATATTTTAATCTAAATGACAGTTTGTCTCTTTCCAATGACAGGGAACTATCAGCACTAACACTAACAATGCAGCATGCTGTTTTAAATTTTTAAATAAAAGCCCACCCAGTTTTATATAATTTCATGGATAAAAGTAGTCAACTCAAACTTCATCCTTAGAAGGGAACAATATCACAAATAATCCAAAAACCATTAACAGTTGGCACGAGAATGCTTTAGAAATAAACAATGTGAAAGCGATCAAGCAAAAAACCTCTGTACTGGAGTCCACAGACCTGCCCACCAATCCTGGCCTCATCACTAAATAGCAATTTAATCCCTTCAACTGCTCAGAGCCTTGGTTTCCTAATCTGCAAAATAATCATCTCCATGATCGTCTACCCTTCCAGCTTTAAAAGAATTGTGACTCATACACATATATCTTTTTTCCAAGCTTCCCATTCTCATTCTGTTTAGTTATTACCATTACTTCACAGCCAGTAAGTGTTATTTTTCCTTAGTTCTACAAAAGGAGAAAACACCCCAATCCAAGCAAAGGTGATAGGGGAAAGCTTTCCTGACCACTGGTTTGCCATAGATGATTCTCAAGGTGAATAATGTAAAAGCTATTATAATGTTAAAAGGTGTTAGGTTTCAATATTTGAGGCTACTGTTTCGTATGCCAGTACATTCTCCCTGAGGACGAATAGTAAAATTCAAGGACAATAGGGAGAAAAAAATACATAATTATCCATTAGTTATTCAAGAACTAAGAAGGTGCCAACTGAAAATATTAACACCTTTTTGCAGAAGAAATGTTTTCTTTGATGAATAAAAGGGCCAAAATATGATCTACAAATTTTTCCAAAATATGTTTAAGTACCAATTAGCTTTCATTTTGTAAACTGTACTCTACAAATGTAAAAAATTAGTAACATATATATGATTAAGAAAATATTCATAAGATTAAAGATCTCTTCTCAGTGAAATGAAGAACTGCCATGGACTGCCACAGAGGTGGACTCTGGGGACCTCCACTACTGCCTAAACCTGGTATGCATTTTCTATGGTCTCGACCCACTCTCTAGAGTGTTATGTAAATAAAAAATTATTAAAATTAAACTAAACAACTGACATTAAGATTACCAATTGTTAGGAAACTCAACCTGATTTTAGTATTGCTCAATAGAGCTGCTATCTTACCATCTCCTTCCCAGTCGACACTTTTGAAGTTCAATTTTACATGATCGTGTAGAGAAATAAAAGGAAAAGAAAGAATGTAAATTACTTATTAGTCTTCTAGAATAAAACTCGGTAGTATATTAGAGCACAATCCAGCCTAAACGTTAAATAAGGAAGAAGTAAGCCACCACTATGAATAGAGAGGTCGCTACAAGAATTTCAAGGTGTAGTTATGAGAATTTCCAGCAAAACTTGTAACTGATATAATACCATCAAACATACATATACATTTTTCAATAAAAGACAACTGACAAAAAGTCCAGCAGCAGCAGCCAGGCACCTTTTAGTTGGAATGTCACAAGAAAATGTCAAAATTTCCTTGTGGCTCCAATCCCTCAAGCCTTTCAAAGTTCAGAACCAAACCAAGATGTATTTACACGGTTTTTAAGCAATTCCTTCTCCACAAAATCACCCGCTTCTGCTACTCGGATACCCAAACCCCACATCAAAGACTCTGCGGAGCCCAAGTAGTTGCAGAGGGGTCTTCCAGCTCCCGCCTCCGCATCCCTTACTCACCTTGGTTAGTTAAACCTCCCCGGGCGCTCAATTCATTTTCCACTCCTGGGTTTCCTCCCTCAACCCGCAGTGGATCTTTCCTCCTCGACCTTGAGGACCCCCAGATCGGGCCCTTGGAGCCCCAAGTGACTTGGTCGGTGCCCCCTTCCCTGCAGCCTGCGTAACTGGCTCAGTCTCCGGTGGCCTCCCCGCGACCCACCAAGACCCCGATCACGAATGTCCTCCTACTGGCCCCGGACGACCCCCTTCCCCTTAGGTTCCTCCAACCGCAATAACAATTCCACAGAAATGCATCGAGAGCCTACTAAGCGCAAGCTCCCACTGTGCGCGGCGTGATCTGCACGGAGCTCGCGGCCCGGGCTCGCCGTCCTTTTCCCGACCAGCCTATCCCAGCCCCAAGCCGGCGCTGCCTCCACCGGCTTGCGGGGGCGACAGCCGGGCGAGCACTGCGCCGGGCGCGGGTACCGGGGCAGCGAGAGCCGGCCGCGGACCACGGCGTGGGGGCCGGGGAGCAGGCGGCGGGCCGGGCGCGACCGCGGGGACACTCACCGTTCGGGACCCGCGGGGCGGCCTCATCCAGGGCACCTGCGGCCAGGCAGGACGCGCCAGGACCGCGCAGTCACCGACAGGGCGAGTCCGCCCGCCCTCCGGTGCGTCCCGTCCCCTCCGACTGCCCAGCGAGGGGAGCCTGGCTTCCTCCGGACGGAGCCCGGGGACCCCAGCTCCGCCGGATGCCCCCGTCAGGCCCCCACCCCCTTCCCGGCCGCCTCCCCCTCTTCACCCGTTTCCCCTCCCCCCTCCCCCCAACCCCCACTGGAATGGAAAATACCTCCCGGGGCGGGGGGCGGGAGGCGGGGGGCGGGAGGGGGCACGCCTCTCTGAAGGGCAGCCTACCGTGACCAATAACAGGCGGGGCTTTGGAGGGGCGGGATTCCTAGCGGCCAATCCGGAGGCGTGTAGGTGAAGGCCGAAGGAGGGAGGCCGGGCGCGAGAGCGGGGCGGCCCGGGAGTCAGGGAGGTCCGGCCGCTTGGGTGCGCGCTATGCGCGGCTGCCATTTTGGAGTCGGGCAGCTGCGACGGCGGACGGGTCTGGCCAAGGAAAGGGAGGAGCCAGTCAGGTGGGAGAGAGGCGGTCACGTGGGTCTGAGAGGCGGGGTAAAGCGGGCTGCGGCCCGAAGGGAGGGGTTGGCGGAGGCGAGTTTCGGGGGTTGGGGGGATGTCACGTGGTCTGAGAAGGGCCAGCGATGGGCTTGTGGGTGGAAGGTTAACCTGAGGTGGGAGTCGGGGGAAAAAGCGTTGTCCCTGGTTTCAAGTCTTAGGGAAAATGAGAGGAAAGTGCTGAATGGAGGGTGTGAGTGCAGGGTAGGAAAATGTGAATGAATCTCCCTAGCGCCCTTCAGCATGGAGTCACCCAGTTAGCAATTTCCAAGATCCACGGGAAACCGGGCACCTCCTGCAATTCAGGTATTCCCATCCCCGCCCCCAGCTGCCACAAAAATGACTCACAAATCCGATGGAGGGGTGTCGGTCTCCCTGTTTTTGTCTGCCCTTTACATGGAAGGGCCCCCTCCCTGGAAATGGCTGAAAGGGTAGAGGAAGAGAAGTAGTTCAGGGATCGTGTCGCCTGAAAGGGCTTTTTTCCGCTGTCCCCCACCCCCTTTTTTTTAAGGCGGTGTCTTCCTGTGTTGCCCAGGCCAATCTCGAACTCCTGGGTTCCAGTGATCCTCCCACCACAGCCTCCCAAAGTACTGGAGTTAGAGGCGTAAACCACTGTGCCCGTCCCCATTAGCCTTTTAGAAACCTTGTTCACAAACTTACCGGTCACTTCATAAGTGTTAGACATAACCTTGGTCGTGTTCCAATGCCTCAACTTAAAAAAAGTAAACCAAAAAGCTCTCCTGTGAAACTAACACTCATCCTTTATTTCAATTCATGCCTCAAGTACTGGCTAAGTTATTCTCCCTACTAATCCAGTGAAAAGTGCTTCTCTTAAGGCTACCAGTGACACCCATATGACCCAGTTCATGGGTGGATTTTTAGTCATCCCGCTTGGTCTCCTGCAGTGGATTTTGTGGACTACATGAAGCCTTTTCTATTCCGTGATGCACCCCTCACCCCACTTTTCTTAACACTGTAAACCCTCAGATTGTCTTTCTGTTCAGGTAGCCTTTCTAAATCTGTTCTCTGTTGACTCTAAGCCTAAGAATCTGATCCTCAGTCCTTCGTTTAGTAGGCACACAGTCAGTCGTTCCTCTGCACATTGGGTGATGTGACCATTCTGATGGCTCAACGGCTGAATGTACTATGGTGATGTCCCAATCTGCAGGTATTAAGTGTCTCTTGGGCATCTGCATTTGCAAGCCATGATGTTTCCATGTGGGACCTGGTATCCTCCATTCCTTATCTTTTTTTGATGACACAATTATCCACTTACTTCCCCAAACCAGGAACTGGGAGTAACCTTTCACGCCACATCTTCACTGCTCTAATGTCTCCCTACCTCTTCCAACTTGATTGTGTCGGTAATATTTACTAAGCTTTCTCCTATTCACTTCTACTGCCACTGCCTCTGCCTCACCTGCACCATTTATTTATTAGGCCAGTACTTAACTGAGCACCTTACTATGCACCAGGCATTGTTTGAGATTCTCAGGATATATTGGTTAACAAAACTGACACAGTTCCTGAGTGGGACAAGACAAATCGTAAGAGTAAATTAGTAAATGAATGAGGTAATTCAGGGAATGATAAGTATTTTGGAGACAATAAAGCAGGGAAACCGATAAGAACCTCCCAAGTTGTTGCTTGGCTCTTCACTGCTGTCTTCTCCCCTTTCCTCCTCCTTCTTTCTTCTTACTCTCCAGGAAGAGATTGCCTTGATCCTTTCACCTAGTGTCGATTCTATCCCGTTTCATCAGCCAGGACTTTCCTCTATCTTTATATTTTTATGTTACAGCTATCTGAATACAAATCCCCAACTAGATGATAAGTTATTTGAGGTCGTGGATCATATCTTACACACCGTTGTGCCTCCACAGTGCCTTAACTCAGAATAGGTGCTCACAAAATGAATATTAAATGAATTGGTGAGTCCCCTGACACCTAAAACAGGATACCACAGAAGCATCTCCAACCCAAATCAGAATGAAAAGGTCAGTGAATTCATCTATTTGAGTGCAGCAGCAGTTATGCCTGAGGGCAAGGGACAGAATTATGACTGATATCACCTGTGTTGGTCCTTTCCGGGCCTTGGACTTCATGATGCCGTGCCCCATGTGTGCCAGTAGTTGCTTCATAAACGCTGCTTTATTTGACAGTGCCAAGTACATGCAGGCAATTTAAAAGTACTCTTTGTTTCTGATGATGAGCTTCAAACCCAGAGAACTCTGGGTGAGCTCCAGAATAGGCCCTACAGGAGAAGGCTGCGGTTGCCACTTCACTTGGTATTTCCAGGCCCTTGGGTATTGCACCCCAACAGGGAGCAAGATGTTGCCAGTTCTGTCATAGTCATTGTAATTAAATCCAAGTTCTGGCAAAAGGCAGTACATAATTATGAAGTATTATTATGGTTTTTATCATTATTAGGCACCCAGCTGCCCAGCCCAGGAAACCACAGTAGTAAAACACTGAGAAGCCAAGCTCCTTTCCCAGCTGGAATGAACCAATACCAGGTGTATTGGCACATCATCCTGCAGCTTCACACTCATCAAGATGAGACTTTCTGTCCCCTCTTTTTGGCAAAATAAAATTGTAAATGAATGGAAAGAGGAAATGTAAAGAAGGACCTTTGCCACTGCCTCTGAATCAAATTCCTTTTTTTTCCATCCCCTAAGAACGATCTCTCCTCATCCACCTATTTATTGCATAAATCTTTTTCAACTTTATCCTTGACTTGCTAGCTTTGTAAACGTCATTTCACAATGACTCTTGAAAATATATCCCACTTTATTAGGGTGAGAGTACAAAGCACAGCAAAGAGTGCTTTCACTTTCAAGAAATTTAGAGACTAAATATTTAGGAAAGGATAGTCAAGTTTGACAAGAAATTTGCCATTTATTGAGCACCTACTCAATGTTGCTGTTGGCATTTTCGCATATACTATATGACTTAATTCATACCACCCTGCAAGGTAGGTTTCACTATCCCCATTTCCTTCAAGGTCACAAAGACTTAGTAAGTAATGAAACTGAGATACCAACATAATTATATAAGTTGGGTGATTGTATATTCATAGTGGATTTGTCCATACTGGTACTGAATAGAGGTAATAGAAATCTGTTACCTCTTTCTATCAAAGTAAAAATGGTTTCTTATACAAAATAGATTTTAAGCTGAGCACTGGAAGGACAATTCAGAAGTGATGCTGAGGGAATTGTGCCAAACGAGGAGACCAAATTGGCCAGAAGCCTAAAATCAATCAATAAGGAAAGATTTCTTGTTCAGCAAGGAGTCACATTGTATTCTTCAAGTACCTTTATTGTCTCTGCCGCACCAAATGGTGAAGACAACCCATGTGGTACTGGGTTGGCAGGTGTAGGCTGAGGAAGAGTGTGCTCAGGGTGGAGGCAGATGGTTTGGGGAGGGAATAGGTCTTTGCATGGTCCCTCAGTGGCCAATAAACTGGCACATCTAGCAGTGGCTTCTGAAACAACTGAAACCATGGCAACTGTCTCTGCTGCCAATCACTTGTTTTTAATTGATGTATGTAGAACAACTTCCCTTAAATAGTTATGTAGTTATTTAACTTAAATAGTTAACTATTTAACTTGTCATTAATTTCATCTTTAAATAGTTTAATGTTTGTCAGTTTTTTTAACTATTCAGTACTTACTATGTTGTAGAAGGCAGTTCATTTCTACTAGTTTTAGTGGGGTTTTCTAAGGGATTTAAGTGTCAGTAAAATACACTCATTCTAAGTGTACCAGTTTGATCTGTTTTGAGACATTTAGAATCCTGTAACTACTATCATAATCAAGAAATAGAACATATGCATTACCCCAAAAAAGTTTCCTTGTGCCCCTTTGCAGTAGGAATTTTAATATAACTTGTATTTTGATTAATCTAAAATTTAGATCTCCAGCTTCAACCTTGTTTTTGAAGTCTAGTACCATATTTTTAGCTACTTGCTCAACATATCTACTTACCTATTATTACAAACAAGCTACCTCAAACCGGTAGTAAATGCTTTCTCTTAACTACAAGAAAACTCCCATCTCCTGCCTACCATTTCCTTCTCAAATGACTTTTTCTGTACTCTCCAATTTGGTTGAGCTAATCATCTTTTATCAGAGTCACATATGCTAGAAATTGTTTAAAATAATCTTTTCCCTCTCTTCCACTTCCCAAGATCAGTAAGTGATTCTAACTCACACATACATTTTTTAGTAAGTCTTTTCCATTTTTACTATCCTCATTCACTTACCTCACTTGCATGATTGCAAAAACTCCTAACTTGTTTCTTCATGCTCCAATTCATCTACCAGTCTGCCACTCTAATTTTCTTTCAAAAACCCAGATCTGACTCTTTCAGTCCCCTGCTTTTGTAGACTACCCAAGTGCATGCAAAATGGCACTGAAAATCATTCACAGTGTTGCCCCAGCCTTCCTACTGGACCTCTGCTCCCCACTACACAGAGTATGCTGTTCATTTTCATCTTTCTGTGCCTTTCATCAAATCTTTGCTTAAAAT